GCCAGATTTATATATATATATTTAAAATAAACCATTCTTTTATTTCAGATCTAAACCTTCCTTTCCTTCCTTCTTCCTCCTCTGGATAACTTTTTCCTTGTGTTGAAAGCTTTTTGCATACTAGAAGGTAATTATCCAGACTATCGTCTCCCTTTAGTAACCACCAATTAAAATGTTACCTATTCATGTTCTTTAATCTTCTTTTATGTCAGATCTTTCCCCCCTTTTAAAAAAACGCCACTATTTCTTTTTTTTTATATATATTGCTCTCCTCTGAACTGAACATCAATTTTATTTAGGCTGAGCTGCCTAATCAATCAAGGCTCTCTTAAAAGGCAAATGTCCACACTACCTGATTCATAGTGGATTCCAGACTATGAATATTCCCTAAATCTACAAGACTGTGGGCAGGTTAATCAGCCAATGTGAATAGTCATCATACATGGAAAATGGCATTTTTCATGCTCACTGGCTGCAATCTGATAAAGCATTTATGCAAAATGCATATATATATATAATATTCTTGCCATTTCACAAGACTATCAAACTACAATAACTGTGCCAATTCCAGGTCCTTATGCTTACAACACCAGTCCTTGTTTAGATTACTAGCATTATGGACAATGGCTTAACTGTGCTGAGTTCTTTGCAACCGAAAATGTGATGATGTTAGTAGCTATTGTCCATTGTTTGTAATACATGGAGCTGAATAACTGGCTATGTCTCACCTTGAAATGTTCTAAACAACAAACAGATAGGTTATATTAACTAGTGCCATAAAACAGGTACCAGGCATGCCAGCAGGTTCTTTTTTTAAATATATATTTTATTGTTTTTTTTTAAAAACTAACAACCTGATGCTTAGTAAGGTTCTATAAAGGGCAAAATGATAACAACAGGAAGGCTTTTGCTGAATTTTATTAAAGATAGGACAAGGACAATATAAATGAAGCATTTTTTTCCCCAATATTGCAAATTCCCAAACAAACTAATAAGTATGCAGAGGAGATAAGGCAGGACATCATCTGCTATGCTGTAGCAGATGTAAAGAAGCAGTAAGAAGTGACCTGAACTCAAAGCAAATGCATTGGCAGTTAAGTGTCACAAAAATCATGGTGAGGAATCTTCAGATTGCAACAGGTGAGAGAAACTCTGGCTAAACTGAGGGATTACTGACCCTGTCACTCTCTTCTCTGTCAGGACCACATTCTTTCTTGTTCACATTGTGACAGCAGTGCTTTGCTACATTGTTAACAAGGCTTGCTTACATGTAAAATTCTTAATTGTATCAGTCATAAATTCCCAAGATATCAGCTATCTCCTAGAATGCTGTTATTTGATGGGAAAACAATAGACACCATCAGTTCATTGAGATTTTTCTTATATCCTTTACCTTGTGATAACTCTCAGGATTTTGAAATTTACCACTTTCAGAGATATAGTTGAGGTGCATATTTCTGCAAACCAATGATTAGAGTGGTTCCAATTAGAGCAGAATTAATGATATAGAGCAGAGGTTCCCAACCTTCTGGGCACAAAGGACTGGTTCCATGGAGAGGTTTTTCCACGGACCGGAGGGTGCATGGTTTTGTGTGCTGCCTGCATCTCATGGATGGGGCTTTGCTTGTTTGTGAGGACCGGTTGCAGGCATGCCGTGGCCCAGTACTGGTCCACAGACCGAGGGTTGGGGACCCCTGATACAGAGATATTTTTTAAAAAAACAGAAAGTGATATGTGCTTGGAGAAAAACATAGATAAAAATTTTAACTGAAATATTAATTCATCTTTAAAATACTTTAGGGTCAATAAACTCATAATTTGGATAACATATTACATAGTTAAATTGTTTTAGATATACTGGCTTAGAATTATACTGTTCTATTGATTTATTGTTTTAAAAAGCAGTTGTAGTATTTTAATTGTTTGAATTGTAAACTGCCTAAAGTCACTGACTGACAAGAGAGGCTATGAAAATTGAATGAATGAATGAATGAATGAATGAATACCATCAAAGAGCTACTTCCCACATCTTTGGTATATTTTTTCAATGAGCACCAACGGTATATAGGTTTTTAAATAAGTTACCAAACAAATGTCCCATTAGATAAACTTAAAATTTCTTAAAAGAAATCTAAATCATGATCAAAAGAATATCAGCACTGAAGCAAGCACACATATCAGTTGAGGAACCAAGGCCTTGAGTAGAGTAGAATTAGACTCAACCAATAGCAGAATTCATACATACAATATTATCATTAACCCCCCCTTTTTTTATGACCTACCCCTTAATTTGGGGTAGAGTGAGGGTGACTGGATGGAGTTGAGCGTTTACTGGCCAGATGCCCTTCTGACACCTAGATGGAGTTCATAGCACATATTTTTTTTTCTTTGAGCACTAGGAAAGAAACATCTGCCCCTACCCAGGATTGAACTCTCAACCTCCTGAGTTGGAAACAAGCGTCTTCACCACTTGGCCACCATGCTGCTCACACACATTAAAAAAAAAAGAGTATTATCATTGGCCCCATTTATTGATGTATTGAAACATCACGAAAGGCAGTCTTCTTCGACCTGATGTCCTGCAGATATGCTGCAATCCAATTAATTTAGAGGACATCAGGTCGAAAAAGACTGCCGAAAAAGGGAGCATCTCGGGATATGTTTTTGATGGGGCTGGTATAGTATTACTATGTGCAAAATTATGTCACTTAACCTTTCCTAACTTGTTGCCTTCCAAATATATTAGATTATAACTTCCGCAATCCCTAGATAAATATGTTGCATAGGGTCAGAATGCATAATTTGTTTTAAAAGTAGTCAGAGAATAAGCTTTCCACAGACCACCTACAGTATATTAGGATGCAATAACTGGAAGTATATTATGTGGGGGAACAGAACTAACCTGCAAGAATTAACTGCTGATGATTAACATTTAACACTGAAATGTGCCCATCAATTTACATGAGGCCAAACTAAGGCTCTTCTTGTATGATGTGGAAAAAAATGAAACTATTCTTGGGGGAAAATTGAAGTAAAAACCCTTTAAAAATTGGATTAGTGCATTTTCTCAGAACTGCCTCTATTTAGATTCCAAGCCTGCAGGCAGTGTTTACTTGCTTGTTTGTTTTAATGAAATTATTGTATGGCATCCAGCGCTGAACCACTTTACGGATAATAAGTACAGTCATCATTTGTGCATTTACAATCTCTTAGTGCATTGTTCCCACTTTTAAAATAACCTTTGCAAGAACAAGGGCTGTCAAGCTCCTCTTCGGGAAAAACATCCTGGCTAGAATTACAAAGATTCTAATTCAGATTTTTGAGCCTCACAGATTTGCCTTGAAAACGGCTTGCTCTCCTGCCCCCACTGCAGTCAGCTACGCCTCCTGAGCTTTAGACTGTCAGTACAAACATTTGAGGTTTGGCATAAATGACTTACAGCCCACTCAAGTGACAGTGAAATGGTACCAATCATTAAACGTTAGGGCTTGGACAGTGGAGAGAGCCACATTTATGGATGGGAGAATGCAACCACTTCTTTCTGACATTAATCTAGTCTTCATCAGATAGAAACACATAGGAATGGTGGTTCTTGACCACTCTGTGACTTGGAAAGGCAAAAAGCTTTCTGGAGCTCAATTCACTTGATTCTTTTCTACACTGTTCAGACAGGCTGTGCTTCTCTGTCTCTTAATTAAGCTGGAAATAGTGGCAAGTTGATGGATTTGCTTTGAGCAGAGGGCGAAGTGCCTGTGCTATCCCCAGAGAGCATATTAGAGTAAACCAAATAGACTAAGAATTTCAGTTAGCTAATGAAGGAGAATTGACACGGAAAGAGAGGAAGAGATGGGAGGAGGAGGTGGCAAAGACAAGAATAGGCAGGAAAGGAATGGGCAGTTGAGAGGGATAAAAAGAAGATATATATTTGATGTGAAGGCCAAATACAGAAAGACAAAAAATAAAGAAAACCAAAAGAAAATCACAGAACATTAATATCTATCTAGTTAGAAGTAGAGAAGAGTAAGTTCAGTTCAGGACATCCTCTCATTTTTATTTTTATTTTTTAAAAAACAAAGCTACATTTGCTTAGAAGTGAACACATTCACATAGCTGAGTCCTGATAATTAAAAAAAAAACAATGTCCAGCTTTTATCTAAAAACTACAATAGGACAATGCATTCATTAGCATCCATGTATGCAAAATGTCACTAAACGTTTTCCAGAATGGGTACAGAAAATTGCAGAACAAATAGATTTCATTTTTTGTTAAATGAAATGAAATGAGCTACTACTCCCATTTGGTTCCACCAGTCTTTGGTGCCAATGAAGTCTGAATTTAACATAGACTGCTCTAATTTAATTTGTACAACTCTTCATGCTTCTCTTTCTCAAAATGTTTACATACTACAAACTTTCAATATCTATATTTTTATTTTTTCATATTCTATCAATTTTATTTAACATTCAGATTAAAGATTTAAAGATGAAATCTGGATGCTTAAAAGTTTGAATGTACTGTAGTTCTGGCATTTGGTTGGTCCTAATATATGTAGTTTTTGGATCTATTAGCCAACAGAGCTTTTTAATGTCTGTCTCATTCATTTGTCCCATTTTCAAGTCAAATACCAAATAAGCTTAGTTCTAAGATTCTGGCTTCAGTATACCCACCCTCCAGTAAGATTTATATCCCACAAAGTCTTCATTCAGTGATTGCACTTGTGGTGGTGTAAAGCCTCATTTCACCTTATTAAGTTTTCAACTCAGCATTAAATTGCTGCTACTTGATTGCATTGGTGGTCAAGTGGTCATATAACTTACAAGTCCCATAAGCTGCCAAATTCCCTAGATAACTAAATGAATATGGGTAATGTCATGTTGCTGTCCACAACAGATATCCTAGGGGTTGTAACATGATAATTATCCATCCTTTTGAAACTTTACAATTTTATCCCAGGATACTGAATTAATTTTTTGGTTTCAGGTGCCCATCACTCCCTTACCTGTTCATGATGTTCAATGCCCATGCTGATGGTGTTTACGAGGATTGCAATCATGATTCCACGATTGAAGTATTTGCTTTCCACAATTCCCCTCAGTTTGACTCTAACTTCTTGCCACATATCATTGCAAAGCATGAGCTGTCCCTTCTCTTCTCCATCATCCTCTTCTTTTTCCAAATCTGTGTTAGACTCTATGACTCCTTTCCTTCCATCTCCCTCTTGGTCACAGGCTTTTTCTCCATCTTCCTTATCTGAATTAACACTATCAAGCACAGAAAGTCTTTGGGTTGCTTCCTGTTGGGCCTTGTAACATTTGTGGCAGTTGCTGGGTTCAGAGACCAATGTCTTGGTAGTAGGCTGACCAAGTCCTTGAGGCATGTAATCAATAGAAGAATGTTTCCGGCAACGTGCTGGTTAATAATACATGAAGAGATTAAATGTAAGGCTTAATAATGTCCTTTTCATAATACAGTTCTGCATCTCAATATTTAATTATGCAAAGCAAATGGGTTGTTGGCCATTTTAATGGAGAAGAAAATGAAGCACTGGAATTGCTAGAGTTAAACATCTCATCAGAGACTTTAAATGGAGATTGCTTGTCTCTAAGAGATACGCTCTACTTCAGCCACAACAGATTGCACTCAATTGTCTTCAGCTATGTAGCACGGATGGAATAATTCTCTAGACTGCAAGAATCATTAAAAAGGGTCATGACCTATATGCAATATATTGGAGGTTTTAAAAAAATTAAAAGCTTGTTTCTTTAAAAACTAGGGAGTTTTATTGATCTCATAACAAAAATATTTCAAATATTATATACTGTGCATATAAAATATGGTAAGTCTGACTTTGCTACTACATAATATGTCAAATCATCCAAAAAAGCTTATCTTGGCAAATGGAGCAGAACTAGAAAGGCATATCTGACTTGACAAGCATATGGTTGTTTTTTTTTAAATGTAACACTGGCAAAGTCACTTATGCTGATTTGCTACAACTAAAATAGTTTTGTAGGGTCTGAAAAAAAGGTCATAGCTCAATGATAACCACATGCATTGCATGAAAAAGACCACTAGATTACATGAGACTTTAGTGATTATTAAGGTGATCTTGCGAGAATTCAGTGGCAGCGCATCACTCTTCCATTGATGGCACTAAATCAGATGATGTTAGAATTGAGAAAAGATTGCAAAATACTTGGACCTGATTACCCAAAAATAACAACTGTAATAATACGTGATTTTGTCACACAAAATCACATAAGATCCTGGTGGCGAGTTCCCAGAGTCTTGTCAAATTTCTACAATTAATTTTTTTTGGGTATCCCATGCCATTGAACAAGATCATGCTTGAAAAGGTGACTGATCTCTACTATAGGTGCCTCTTGTCTTTTTCATAAAAGCTAGTAATTTGCACAGCTGAATTTATGTTTCCCCACTTCATATTCTGTATCATTCTCTGCTGCTAAATGAAGAATTGTACATACTGTATCCAATAACATACCAAGTAAACATGTATATTCTTAAATATATTTGCCTATGTTTTATTCATCCTATATTACAGGGGTCCCCAACCCCCAGGGCCGCACAAGCAGCAGTTAGACTACAGTACTGCAGGCTACTTCTGCTGACTGGCTGCCAGCAATTTGGCAGCTCAAGTCTCCTCAGCTCAAGGTTGACTCAGCCTTCCATCCTTCCGAGGTCAGTAAAATGAGGACCCAGATTGTTGGGGGCAATATGCTGACTCTGTAAACTGCTTAGAGAGGGCTGTAAAGCACTGTGAAGCGGTATATAAGTCTAAGTGCTGTTGCTATTTGCACATGCAAGGAAACTACGTTGTGCATACGAAACCCTCCCCCCCCCACCGCTGCTACTGCCAGTCCATAGAGCCAGAAAGATTGGGGACTGCTGCTATATACTGTAGTTCCCTCCATTAACCTAAGTATAATAATTGTTTTAAGTAGGGGTAGAACATAATTTTTAGTTACGTAATGCTGTTTTAATTTTTTTGGCTATTATACAAATCAAGATTCAGCTATCCTTCCTTGAATTATGGGATGCAGTTCCCTGCTCAAAATGCTCACACTTTCCATATGTTTCCAATTAATAGAAATTGGATATACAGGCAATCCCCGAGTTACGAGTATTCACTTAATGCTCGTTCAAAGTTACGTGATGAGTGCCCCCTAGTGCTTACGAGCAAGTCCTGCAGTTACGAATTTTGCAGCACCACGGCAGTTGTTCACCCTTATAAGTGACCGCAGTGGCTCTGCAACATTCACCCTGGTTATTCCCTCCCTCCCCACCTCCCTCTGGGTCTCCCTAGGCACCAGGCCTTCAATACTCACCCTGCGAAGATCGAGATCCTTTGCTTTCTTGGCTGCTCCAGGCCTTCGGTTCATTCGCAGAGAATGGAGGCCTAAAGTAACTCAAGATCACGTGAGATCAGTGGGGCGAGATCTCATGCTACTGATCTCACATGATCACTTTAGGCCTCTGTCCTCTACAACAGAGAACAGAACCGAAGCCGGGGGATGCTTCTGTGTGTCTCTGGAGGCTGGATCAGGGATCCAGAGGCCTGTTCCAGGGCATTGTGGCCCGGATCTAAGGCTGGGGGAGGCTTTTGCGACATCCCCCCGTGGTCCGATCTGGGCTCTGGAGGCCTTTTCCAGGCTGTTGCAGCCTGGATCTGCAGGGGGAGGCTTTCATGCCCCCCCTCATTGCCTAATCCGGGATCTGGAGACATTTTACAGGCTGCTGCAGCCCAGATCTGAGACCAGGGGAGGCTTTCGTGCCCCCCACAGCCCAATCTGGGCTCCAGAGGCCTTTTCCAGACCTGATCGGGCCACGGAGGGTCGCAGAAGCCTTCCCCAGCCTCAAATCCAGGCCAGAGTGAACTGGAAAAGGCCTCCAGAGCCCAGATCGGGCAATGGGAGGGCATGAAAGCCTTCCCCAGCCTTAGATCCAGGCTACAGCACCCTGGAAAAGGCCTCCGGAGCCCAGATCGGGCCACAGGGGGGTCGCAAAAGCATCTCCCAGCCTTCATTCCGGGCCACAGCACACTGGAAATGGCCTCTGGAACCCGGATTGGGCCATGGAGGGGTTGCAAAATCCTCTCCTGGCTTTAGATCCAGGCCGCAGTGCCCTGGAAAAGGACTCAAGAGTCCAGATCGAGCCCCGGGGGTGTGAAAGCCTCCCCTGGCCTTAGATCTGGACTGCAGCACCATGAAAAAGGCCTCCCACGCCCGGATCAGGCTGCGGGGGGGGGGCTGAAAAATCCTCCCCTGGCCTTAGATCCAGGCTGCAGTGCCCTGAAAAAGACCTCCAGAGCCCAGATCGGGCCGCGGGGGGTGAAAAAACCTCCCCCAGCTTTAGAGCCAGGTGACAGCACCCTGGAAAAGGCCTCGGGAGCCCGGATTGGGCTGTGGGGGGGGGCACAAAAGCCTCCCCCGGCCTTAGATCCAGGCCGGAGTGGAAAAGCCCTCCAGCGCCTGGATCGGGCCATGCGGGAAGCACAGAAGCGTTCCCCGGCCTCAAATCCAGGCGGCAGCAGGAACCGCGGCAGAGACGAGACAGATCCGGTGAGTCCGTTGTGGTAGGAAGGGAGGGGGAAGCCCTTGGGGGCCTGTTCCAGCACTAGGCCCTCCATGGCCTTCCCCACCCTGAGATACCTCATGGTTGCTTAACGAGCCACGTGCGTTTTAATGAGAAAGGGAGTGATCTCATACCTTGAACAAGATTCACTCTACAAGCAGTAATGGGCAGGTTCTATTACACTCGTAAGTTGAGGATTACCTGTAGAAATGCATTTTTATAAAGAGGCTTGTACAATTTAAATGGAAAATTTATAATATTTTTTTTAAAAATCTGCAGAAAATGGAAAAGAACTGTCTTATGACTTTGTATAGGTGATCTTTGACTTATGACCTTAATTGAGTCAGGAATTGCAGCCCTGCCAGTCTTTAAGTGAGTCATCACGTGACCAACTCAATTTTATGACTTTTTGTTGCAGTAGTTGTTAGGCAAATCACCATGGTCATTAAGTGAATCCGAAATCATTAAATGAACCCATTGTCCAGAATGGGTGTTTTTTGCTAGAATCTGGAAATAAATGCTGGGTTCCAGGAAAAAAAGTCATAAATTGTGATCAGATGATCATGGAATGCTGCAAATGGCTGTAAATATGGCTTGGTTGCCAAGTGCCCAAAATGCATCATGTGACTGTGGGACGAGCAGCCATCAGCACTTCAAACTGGGTCATAAGTATTTGGGGGGGGAGTCATCATATCTTTGAACAATCACTAAATGACCGGTCATAAGTCAAGGACTATCTGTAGTCTGATTTACAGTGAAGTTCTTAACAGTCATTTACAGTCCCAACCCCAACCCCTTAATTTGGCAGGCTTAGTTTATAAATCTTACAGTATTGCTTCCGATCTTTTCCATTAACTCTCTGTTTGGCATTGCCTGGTTCTGTTTGACTGAGACGACGATCCTGCAGGCTGTTGTAGAAGCCAAGGGTACGACGCTTAGCTTTACGAACAATGTGGCAAACATACTGGAAGATCTCTTCGTAACAATCTCCCGGTTCCATATAGCTGGCCACAGTGCTGGAGGACAGGTATCTTGCTCGCTGCTCTTGCATCAGTTGGTGTTCTCGTTGCTTGGTCTCTGAAAATTGGGTGGCAATGACTACTAGGCACAGATTGATCATAAAAAAGGAGCCCACCTAAGCAACAAGAGAAAAGGCATGAATAAAGTATTATTAGGGGGTCGGGATAAGGGTGGTGGTGATTAAAGGTTAAAAAAAGACATAAAACATTGATATACAGTATGTGTTTATGTATGGGGGGCAATTGCAAAGTCCTTTCCTCACAACCTATAATTCATTCTGACTCCACTGTCAAATTTTAGCTGTAAGATTGCTGAACATCAGTGCCACATTTTCCTGCCATTTTAGGATGAAATTCTAGAAATGCATACATACATACATACATACATACATACATACATACATACATACATACATACATACTTTATACATATTATATTATATCTATTTATCTATTAATATATGATAAAAAACATATAAAGAAATTATTTTAGAGATAGTGGACCCTTGGATGAATGTGCATAAGATTAATCTTTTCTCGACCTGGCACCTTTCAGATGTCTTGGGTTGCAACTCTCATTGCCACCTATACTGGCTTCATATAATGAGAACTGTACTTTAACTAATGGAAATTACCAGATTAGGTAAAGATAATTTAGGTTATAAACCTGCTTTTATTCTCTAGTAAAAAAAAAAAAAACCCACTTCTGTGCTTCTCGTTTGTTTGTAAAAACAATATAATATAACAATATTTATTCTTATTTTTAAAACTTAGGAAGGATATTCTTAATGGTAGTTCTGGTGTTACTCTAATATATACATTTTACTCTTAAATGTCATGAAAAGTTTATATATAACAAAAATGTTATATAAATCCTCATGTCATTCCAATTAACAGTAAACGATAATTGTTTTATTTTTTCAGCATCCATTACTTATCCCATAGCCTTAATCCCATAAACAAAATAATATTTGCTATTATCCCATGCAACATGACATAAATGTCAGAATAAAAATAACAAATAAGCATCTTACTAAATATCTTTCGAAGTTCAATCTGCTTAAAGAACAACTGTACAAACCTCAGGCTAGGAAGAGGTAACAGAAAATAAAGGGCGAATTTAATACTGAAATCTCCTCAGGTCATAAAAGGAGGGAAAGAGTTACTGTTTTTCCATCTAGACGCTTTCAAACATAATTATCCAGAGAATAATAGACCATGATGCCCTTCTACTCTTGCTGCGCTGCTCATCTAGACAAAGGTGCCAGAAGGCTCTATCAGATAGTCATTTCATTCACTTTTAACATTTCAAAGGGGCCGGGTCTCTGCTAGCCCTTGAATTAGCCTTTGAAAAACTAAGCCTTTCCTGGCCAGCTTCAGTATTAAAATAATTCACTGTTTCAAAATAAAATGGTGTTTTTAAAAAGATTTTGACGGCTATTTTAAAATATTCAGGCTGAATACCAGGAAGAAATTCCTATTGGCAAGAACTGTTTCAAATAGAACACTTTGCTTCAAAAGTGGGGGATTCCTACTTGCTGGAAGCTTTTGAGTGAGGGCAAGCTAGATGGCCAACTGCGGAGGCTGGATGTATTGTAATTTAAAGTCCCATCTCATACATTTTGCAAGATTTATGAAATCTGTTACAAAACTGTTCACTTATATTTCACCTGATTCACTGATTTGCAGTCTGTATTGGCAGTCTGGTATACATGTGAAGAATAACGGAGTGGACAAAGTTCTTTAGAATGGTTAAATATGTGTGATATTTGGATCCAAAGGAATAAAGGTGCTTCAGATATAATGTGAGTGCACTCACAACACCTATCAGCAACATGTTAAAAAGTTGTTTTATTCAGCACTTGTTGACAAATACAGCAAATGCACTGTTGCTGGGATCAAAGGACCTTTCCTGTTTTGAATCTGAATATTTGCATATGCTGTTTGAATTATATTGATCCCTATAACATTTGAGAATTTTGCCAAACAAGTGCTTTTCTTTTTCTATATCCTTTGAGCAAGGATTCTGAAAGCTCATTCCAATTCCAAATGTGTACTTTAACTTCCTTTTTTTTTGTCACTGTCTTCCTATTTATAGAAAGAAATAGTAAGTATGTCAGGTTATGATTCCTACAGAGCAATTTTTTTGCAAGCCAGCGCTTTCCCAAATACTGCATTTTGGAGGGGTTTTTTTTAATAATTCCCTCTCTTTGTTTGCAAACCAATAAATAAAATTACAGGGGGTAGGGGACTCACACAAAAGCTGTGTCTTAGCTTAAGAGAAATGGTGGGAATTTTAACTTCAAGTTATAGAAAGACAAAAATGAAAAAATTGAGAACTAAGTTTAGTCACAAGTCCTCAGCTTACAACTATAATTGAGCCAAACAAGTGAAACATTTGTGAAGTGAATTTTGCCCCATTTTACAACCTTTCTTGTCATAGCTGTGGCAACTGAATCACTGCAATTGTGGTGTTATTTTATGCTTCCCCATTGATTTTGCTTGTAAAAAGGTCACAAAAGGTGATTGCATGATCTAGGGACACTGCAACTGTCATAAATATAGTCAATTGCCAAGTGTCCAAATTTTGATCACATGACCATGGGGGTGCTGCAAGGGTGAAACGGTCATCACTTTTTCCAGTGCTGTTGTAACTTTGAACGGTCATTAAATGAACTGTTGTAAGTCGAGGACTGCCTGTGTTATACTCTAAGGGCCTTGCTTTAACCATTGTTGTGTGCTCTGACCACTATTGTAGGTTGACTGCATAGGAATAATTATGCAGTGGGGAGACACCCTCCAAGATGGCTGCTGAATTGTAGGGATTTTTCCTTTTCCCGGTGACAATTTTCGGATTTTTTGGATGGCTATGGAACCATCTGTGAAGGGGTACTGTGGAAAATATTCAGAGGCATGTTGTTTTGGAATTATGAGTGCAATTCGGAAATAAATCTCCATTTGGTAATAATAATAATAATAATAATAATAATAATAATAATAATAATAATAATAATAATA